GTGTTTCAGGTGCGAATTGTACTTCTCCGGAAACAGCAACATTGTTGAGCTGGCCAAAGGTGTGAAAAGCGTTCACCACGGGATCTCGATTCGACCAGTCGTCTGCTTCGGACTCTTTCATCACAGACGAGAGACGTTCCGTGAGCTCTAGCATTCGAAGTCCATGCACTTCGAGGGGTCGCTGCGGGCCTGAGGATTGCCTCTCTGTCTCGGTTCCTGCGACTTTGCCATCCTTGCGAGGGTGAACCTTAGCAACCGCAGTATTAGACCTCTCACCGCCCAAGAGAGCAACGAAGGTGAATATACTGGGCAAACTGTCAAGTCGGAGGCAGACGAGAAGCCTTCGACATTCCGTGATCTGCGGTTTGCCCGCCACAGACCCCCCAAAGCTGCCTGCAGCGTCTTCCGAATCAAGTCGGCTCCCGTCCCAGTTGATATCACCTCGCTTCCAAGCAGCGAGCTTCTTCTGGTACGAGGGTGGGAAGAGCGCGAGTGTTATGGGTGTTGTGGCAAAGGTGGTGACCAAAGCCATGACGACGAAGATGGTAAAGGTACGCTGACTCAGGATCTTTGCTTGGAGACCGATGTTCTGAACCAGTCAGTATCCCTGCAGGGGAGAGGGGATCCGTAAGGCTCACCAATACGATCAGCTCTACCAAGCCTTTGCAACTCATCAGAACACCAATAGTGAAGCTCTCCCTCCACACAAGCTTGTTGGCTCTCGCAGCAAGGGTACCACCGGCAACCTTTGCGATGAATGCCACCGCGATGACTCCGACGACATACGCCCAAGTAATTCCATTGTCGAGGAGGCCGAGGTTGGTGCTCAAACCCGAGAGTGCGAAGTAAAGTGGGAGGAAGAATACGGTGACCAGGTCCTCAAGCTTCTCTGTGAGCTTGATGGCAAATCCTCCTTCGTGGGGACAGATCAACCCCATCAGGAAAGCTCCAAAGATTGGGTGGACTCCAATGATGCCCGTGAAGAAAGCTGAGGCGAAGACCATCAGCACAGTCAGAGCCACCACGGATTGAGTGGGGCCGTTGTGAATGCTACCACTGCGCCGCAAGAGCCACAGGAAAGCTGGGCGGATGGCGTAAACAAGGAAAAGCACATAGGCGACGCATGTGAGGAGAACGTATAGAGCCGTGATTCCGGATCCAGCGTTGACAATGGCGACGCACAAAGCTAGCAGGATCCAGCCAACCACATCATTCGCGACGCCTGCGGATAAGACGACAACACCGACTTGGGTTTGAAGTAGCTTCAGCTCGGTCAGGATTCTGCAGAGTACTGGGAAAGCCTGCATGTGCTTAGCATTCGCAAACAGCCAGGATGATTTAGGCCTACCGTGATGGCCATGGCAACACCGATAAAGAGCAAATATGTCCCGAGGCTGATGGGCACGAGACCCTTATCATCGCGGAATTGATGGTAGAGTCCGTATGCAATTGCACATCCCAGCCCGAATGGGAGAGCCATACCGGCAGCTCCAACACTGAGCGCTATCCTCCAATTCCTGACCAGTAGCCGCAAGTCCACCTCGAGTCCTACAAGGAAGAGGAAGAGGATCAGACCAACGTTGGCCGCCGTTGAGAGTGTGGGCATGGAAGCTGCGGGGAAAATTGCATTGGTGAAACCTGGGGCACGGCCGAGGACAGAGGGACCGAGTAGTATGCCGCCTATGACCTCTGCGATGACCCTTGGCTGTCTGATCTTGGAAAGAGGTAGGTGGAGGAGTCGGGTGAAAATGAGGATAATGCCAGCCTAGAACGACGATGGGTCAGTATCGGGTCCGCCGGCAGATCAATGGAGAGACATACCTGGATGATGAAGACGTAAATGGGGTTCTTCGGGTCGTAAGTGGAGGGATTGGACCCCTGGAGGATGCCTCCTTGGCCGGGGGCTCTGACGACCATGGCGACCGCAGGCTTCGGTGGTGGTGTTAGTGGGGCAGTGAGATGCAATGAGCGCAGCGACAGGAGAGAAGAATGTAAGAGAGCAGTGTCCGATGAGAAGAATGTTGGAATTAAGGTAGGTATTCAAGACAAGTCAATACCTACCCCACGCGCGCAGGTCAATGTGGTGAGAGTGGCTGCAAACATAGCTGCAAACAATGGTTCCTTTCTCTTTTTAAAACAAGGCTAGGCCTTGCCCGCCCGTCACAGCACAGACTCTATCGATCAGCCATGGTCGATCGAAGGAAGAGAGAGTTACATGAATAATCATCATGTGATCCATCTCAGTTTTTTGACCGCTCTTTTGCGCTCTCTCCTGCCGCATCCAGGTGGTTACTTTGTTGGGTGGTGGAGGCTTGACGGCTCTTCTAAAGTAAAGTAAGTAAGTAGAATCTAGACTCTTAGCGCACCTCGGCAGGCGCGTTTATTAGAGTAAGCTGGCCCTTTTAGCGTACTCTAAGTCTAATCGCAAGACGCTTGCGAAAGCTTGGCATTCACCGAGGCGGATTCTCCACGTCGGATAATTCTTCGACGGCGCAAGGTGCGTTTCTGTTTTGTATAAGATATCATTTTTTAGCCACTCGACTAAAGAAGTTAACGTACTGAAACTTGTGTGATCGTGGCCTCCGTTGTCGCGTTACATACAAGTATTGATAGAAGATAAGTTTTGTGACTTTCTCGCGCCTTCGGTGCAATCGGGTTCCCGGACCCCGAGCCCCACCACACCAACTGTACAGATGCATAGAGTGATGCATAATGCATGTGTCAAAAAAGAGTGTATATAGAAGCTGGTATTCTGATTTTGTGCGATACTAATGCTGTCGGAATTTACAAAGTGACTGAAGATTTGTCGAGATCGAGAGGTTCGAAGAATTGAAGTCTACAAGATTCTTGTATCCGTTGTATTCCGATTAGTACCCGCTCAATTGCGATATTCCGGCGGTATCGGAGTCACAAGAATCGAACATCAATTCTCTTGACAACACACTCTTTGATATCTACATTGTTCAAGAGTCTGTAGAATTATGCAGGTGGTGTGGGGGTCAAGATTGGATGTGAAGCTTTCGCAGATACGCAAAATGCAAGACACGAAAGTATTGACCGATTGGTTGCCGGGGCTTCCCTCAGGCTGACTGTGCATCTACTAAGGTACCCATACCTTAGCGGTCTTAGCAGTTAGTAAAGGCTGCGAACATTGGGAGAGTCATAAGGTAGTCGGTGGAAGATGTTTGCTCGCCTGTTTACGACCAATACCCTGTATGAACAAACCACCAGAGACTAGAGCATAAAAGTATGCTTGCGCTACAGCGGATCCATAATCGGATCCCAACGACAGAGACCTTGCCTCTTCGCCCCGCCATTCCACCCAGGTCAAGATTCGAGTCTCTGCCCTTCGAGCTTCGACTCCAGATATACAGCCTACTGCTCGACGGAAAACCCCAGTGCTGTCATCTTGAAAAGGCAGTGGGTGGCCGAAGCTATTCCACTCCCAAGCTCTATCCCGCCATCCTCGCCGTCAATCGCTCCATCTCCGCCGAAGCCTATCCCGTTCTGTACGGGGAGAACACCTTTCTCTTCCTCGGTACTACGCAGATTGCCGATCATCTTAACATCAATCACCAATTCCTCCGCCGTCTTGTCGGGCTGCCCAAAATTCATGACCCGTCCCTACTCCCCAAAACCTCTCGTCATTTGATCAAACACGTCGCGGCCGCGCCGTTGGAACTAGCCAGAAATGACTGGGTTGGTCGACTGCTTGGACTGGCACCCGCGATCAAGACAATCGAGTTTGACTTCTGGGTTGGCTTCGCAAGCATTCCCACCCTCGATGCATCTATTCCTGCAATCAAGAGTCTCATCGGTGCTTCGACGCAGACCTTCCGCATTGGGACTCGAGATTTCGATGCCTACCACGCCTCCGGATTTCGCTTTTCGCGCAGAAGGCGGGTAGAGCTGCCTGGCATGATATTAGCCGTGGTCGACCTCAAGGGCCTCGACCATGTGCAAGAGAAGAGCCGTCTGGTTCACAAAGCCTTGCGTTTCATCATCGAAATTATGGGACAACGGCCGCCGATGCCGAACAATACTATTTTCCCTGGCCAAGCGCTGGTATCGGTAGAGTATAGAGTGTTTTTACACAAAGATTTTGCCGGTTTTTGGTCGTCAGATGAGTTCACAGTCGAAGCTGAGACTCAAGGGTAGACTCCGATCGACACTAACGGCCAAAGTGTCGAGATTGGGTGGTGGTGCAAGAGCATAACATGGCGACGCTCGGGAACGGGTCGTGTCAACACCAAGGTGTTATAGGGCTACAAGGGTTGGTGGCCCTCCGTAGCGGGTGCAATTTGCCCAGAAATCTTGCAATGGGGGATTCGAGGACGTTCATTTAAGTCACGCTATTTCTGTTATTTGTCTGTGTAACTGAGGATCTATTGATTGGGTACATGACGAAACAGGATCAGATCAGATCTCTGTTGAAGAGATACTGATTACATGCGGGTAAAGCAAAATTCGGACCTCTGTTGAAGAGGTCGTCGCAGAAATCAAGAACATCGACCGTGTTTGCGAGTCCCAGCAACCAGATGCTCTCGCGAGGAATAAAGAAAATCACAAGCGCTTTTGTCCATCATCAAGGGTAGTGGCATCTATTGCAAGCAATTAGAAGCCGTATCACCCGGTCAAATTCTTCTGGCAACCGATCTTATTGTGGCTCAGGCAAAACATCCTGCGGCATGGGGGTTCCTTGGATCCGCCTCATCGCCGTCCTTCCGCTGGGCTCCGACGCTGCTATCCGAGCTCTTCCCAGAAAAGGGTTGCCCACTGCGGATTCGACTGCTCATTCTATCCGCAGTAGAGACCCTGAAATGGAGAAGAACGCGGTTTCAATCATCGCAACCAGCGAGAGGACCGCGATGCGGAAGCTCCGAGGATCCCCCATGCAAAGGCTATATTTACAAAGTCACATTAACTCGCATAGCGTTTCACCAGAGGTGGGGTGGGGGAGAAAGGGTATACGTTACTGGCTTGCGCTTGGGGCCCACTCTTCAAGTTGGCACCAATCCCAACGTGTTCATCACACGTTTGACAGTATTCATGTCGCTGTCCAAATACACCGCTCCTAGAACAGCCTCAACAGTGGCAGACATTGTGACCGGAGACACGACGCCCAGCGTCGAAGGGTTTTGATTGACGAATGCCACCAGACCAGTCACACGGCCAATTCTATCCAAGTTGAGGTTACCCCCAACTGCCTGTCGGATCTGGTCAAATCGAACTGAAATAAAGTCAGCTCGTGACCTCAGGCGATCCTTCGTCATGTATTTTTGTTACCCCGAGCTTCCATCCCCTCGTGCCACGCTTCTGCGATCGCAAGGTCAAGCACCCGGTCGCCTAGCACCGCGAGACGTCTGTTCCCACCAACGAGTCTTCGATTGCCTATAGTCTGGACCGGCGACCCGGCGGCTTGAAGCGCTTCCCATATCGTCCAAGGATCGCTAAATTGATAGCCAATGATCTCTTCAACCCCGCGAATTTTGTCCATATATGTGTTTTCCATAGCGAAGGCCGATCGGGTCGCAATGGGATAGAGGAAGTGACGTGTTAGACAGACTTATATAATCAAGTATAAGTAGGTCTAGAGTTATGTCGTAATGTGGACTTAGTAGTAGATAAATATATTTTCGTATATGGATCTTGTAGTAAGACAAATTCTTACGGAAGCAAGAAGGAAAACGGGGGCATCGCCCTCTTAAGCTTCTATGCCAAAAGCCTACGTATGCCAAGAGTCTTGGCCACACTTCGGCTTCGCCCGGAAGCCGAGCAACCGCGTAGCAAAAAAGCCCGCACACCGCCATCCCGGAAATAAGAGGAACCAATGATGTACGTCCCAGAGGTAGAAGGATAACTGCTATGTATGACTGATGTAGAGCCTAATATCTACCATGGCCAAGGCCCACTAGTGTCATTGGCTAGGCAATCTCTATCAACTACTATTAAATAAATAATAAAAGCTCTACGATTACTTTTATATCTAGTTAATACTCTAATTTATAAAAAATTCTTTATTATATTCTTTATATTTATACGCTAATCTAGATATATTAATACTTTTAATATTAATAATAATCTTAATAGTTCTAAATTCGTAATAATCTTTCTTTAAAATAAATTAAAATCTCGTAGAATTTAAATTACTCGTATCTTAGATAATTAATTTAAATTTAATTAATAGCTAAGTATTAGAATTAATATAGATATAATATTAATATAAATAAGATAAATAGAATAATAAGACTATCGAATTATATAAATAAATAGAAAGAAGATATAGTATAATAGAAGATATCTTCGCTAAGATATTAGATTATAGATAGAGGTCGAAAAGATATAATATTTAATATGAAATCTAGGTAATTTTCGAGATATTATTCTAAAAGATATAGGATATTTCTAATCTTACTCGATATTTTATATATAAATTATCGTATTTTTAAAAGTATCTCGTATAAAATAGACTAGTCTCGTTATAGAACTTTAAGAATTATAAGATTCTATAGATAGATTATAGAGATATAAATTTTTAAAGAAAAGAAGTAAAAGTTAAAAAATTCTAAGTTTAAAATTTTTTATATCTTTTCGACTAGTAAAATTATAGAATTAAGTAATATATTAAGAATACGCTTATAATATTATTCTTCTCTCTTAAATAATTATAATCTCTATAGTTAATAGTTTTAATAGATTAAAGATATATAATATTAAAACTAATATAGATATAATATTAATATAAATAAAATAGATATAATAATAAGACTATTAAATTATATAAATAGATAAAAGATATAATATAATAGAAGATATCTTCGTTTAGATATTAGACTATAGAATAAAGTAATATATTAAGAATATGTCTAAAATATTATCTTCTTCTCTTAAATAGTTATAGCTTCTATAGTTAATAGATTAAAGATATACGTTAATTACTTACTCTATATCTTTAAAAATCTATAATTTTTATCGATCTTAATTAAAGAAGATTTATTAAGATATAGTAATAGTAATCGAATATCGAATAATTTAATTCGTTTAAAAATATTATATTCGAGATTTTATCGAGTCGTATATTAATCTTAACTAAGTATACTAGTACGAGTAAAGATTTATAAATTAAATTTATAATTATTTTTTTAATTAGAATTATCGAGTAAATAGATAAGCGATCTTTAATAAACGATCTTTAGTAAGCGAACTTTAGTAAGCGATATTTGAATTTCTTACGCTTTAATAATTATAAGACTAAATTTAAAAATTCTTCTTTTATCTAAAAGCTTATATTTTATTTTATAATTTAAAAAAAGATCTTAAAATTTTAATAGAAAATAAAAAAGTTATTCTATATATTAATAATATATATCTATTTTTTTAATAATTATAAATATTAATTTATTTATTTATAATAATTTAATCGATTTAATTAAAGAGCGTAATAATTCTAAATTTATAACTAGCTATATATATAAGTTTAAGATTTTTAAGATTAACTCTATCTTATTCTTTTATATATACTAATAAACTTAATAATAGATAAATATATATTTATATATATTAGTATATATAAAAGAATAAGATAGAGTTAAGTTTAAAAATCTTAAATTTATATATATAATTAATTATAAATTCGAGGTTAATATATTTTTTAATTAGACTATCTAAGTTAGCTCGCTAGTTCTTTTAAGCTCTCTTATTAAAAAAATAGATATACGTTATTAATATATAGAATAACTTTTTTATTTTCTATTAAAATTTTAAGATTTTTTTTTAAATTATAAAACGAAATATAATATTAATAGTAGTTTCTATAAAGACTTTATTTAGATTTAAATAGAGATATCTAACTATTAAGCGTAGATATTTTTTAAATTAACTTTTTTAGCTGAGTTACTAATAATAGTATTTACGCTTTATTTTAGATCGATCAGTTTAAAGATTAATTAATAGCTACTTCGAAGCGATACTAGCTATTATCGAGGGTAATACGCTTAGTCATTGAAAAATTAAGAGTCGAAGGTTCGAGAACGCTTAAATCGGGCTTATAGCTCGATAAAGATAAAAAAAAATTCGATAGAGATAAGTAGATACTAAGTATATATATCTTATTTAAGATAAAATAAATATACTTAATATATATTAATATCTTATTAGAGATAAAGAAAATTTAATTTAATTTAGCGATATTAGCTTACGCGAGATAACTTATTTATAAATTTAAAATTTTCTCTTTTATTTATTGTAAAATTTTATTTTTACTTATATCTAATATATATTATAATATCTAATATATTTATTTAATAAATTTATAACGCTATTATAGTAAAAATTATTTAATAATTAAATAATATTAAAGTACTTATATCTTATATATATACTATATTTATATTATATATATAATATATATATTAATAAGTAACTTAGTTTAATTTATTAGATTCTTTTAATAGAAGTAATAATAAATAAAATAACTTAAAAGTAAAGAATTTAGAGCTTATTATTTCTCTCTTTATAGACTTAACTTCTATAATAAGACTTATATTATATTAATACTTATATATATTAATTATATATAGAATATAGTTAAGAAGATAAATATTATTATTAATTAAAATAGCTAGCGTAAAGTAATAACTAATAAGATTTAAAATTATATTATTCTATTTAAATATTTCGAGATAAATATAAATAAAATTCTTTATTTTATATATATTAAATTAAAATTTAATAGAGAAAATTATAAAAGTATTTAAGAGATAATTAATATATATAAAAGAATAAGATAGAGCTAAGCTTGAAAATCTTAAATTTATATATATAGTTAATTATAAATTCGAATTCGCTACGCTCTTTAATTAGATCGACTAAATTAGCCCGATAGCTCTTTCGCGTTTCTTTATTAAAAATTTATATATAGAAGTTTTATACTTTAAAGTACTCAGCTTACGATATATATAGTTACTTTATAATTTCTTAAATTTTAGAGCTCGCTTTACGCTTTCTAACGCTATAAAAATTATAAAGTTTAGTCTACTATTAATAAATTAAATAGATATTTAAATATAATAGTTATATTAGACGCGTTCGAAATCGAATAATAATCCTTTCATCTATTTATATAATTATTCTTCTTTTATTATTCTACTACGTTAGCTAGTTACTTAGTTATTTACTTAATTAATTACTTAGCTAGTTACTTAATTTAATACTTTATAAGAGAAGAAGTAAAAGAAGAAACTATAATAGATAAATATAGAGAATACTACGGAGAATACTACGAAGAAATTAAGCGATAATAAGATTATTATCATTAAGAATACGACTTAGCTCTCTAAGATCTCACGTTATATACTCTCTACGATTCTATATTAAATTATTACTTAATAAGCGAAGAATACTATTATAACTTAATTTATTATCTTTATTATATTAATATAATATATTACTATAATAATATTATAAGAGAAGAATCTACTATAACGATTATAATTAATTAGATCTTTATAGAAGAAATATCAAACGATATATATTTAAACGAATTAAAATCGCTCGATATCTTACTTTAATAGCTATTTTAAAAGATTTTACTATAATAAAAGATTTTATAAGATTTATATTACTAATTAACTCGATATCTTTATTTCTTTTCGAAATTCGAAAAAATTATATATATATACTTCTTATTATAAGAATATAGTCTTTCTCTATTTTTTATAGATAATTATTATAAATTAATTCTTTATACTCGATATACCTTTCTAATTAGACCTTAGCGCGCCTCTCTTCATATATATATATCTATAGATTATATAGATTAATAGAATAACTATATATTATATTAATATTATATAATATTAAGAACTATTTCTTAATAATAATTTTAATTAAAAAAATAGATTATAAATTTAATTCATAGGCCTTTACTCGTTTATTAATATATATTTATAATAGATTCTATATATATTTAATTTAAATATAATTTAATTATTTAGAGATTAATATAATTTATTCTTAAATAAAGTCTATTAAAATATAATTTTTAGCTAAAAAGAATAAAAAGAATAAGAAGAAAATAGTATAAAAATAAATATTTAAATATGATAAGATTAAATATTATTAATATATTTATCGAGATATAATTATCTTATATTAAGCGTATAATCGAGTTAATATTATAGATATTAATAATCTTTAATAAAGATTTAATTCTCTATTTTACTCTTATTTAATTAAGAAATATCTTAAAATAAATATTAAGTATTAATATAATACGTTTTTTATAGATTAGTAAATATAAGACGTATATTATAAAAGTCTATAATCGAATACTATAATATATTAGAATTAATTGTCTATAGTATTTAAGCGAAATAAAATAAATATATATAGAGTAGATATTAAGTATATATTTATAATCTATAGATTATCTTTATTAGTTATTTATAAAATAATAATTTAAAGTTATAATATCGAGTAAGATATTTATTATCTACGACTATATATATAAAT